AAAGTAAATGGAAGGAATGGAAGCTGTCAGCTTGCAGTCCTTAACACACAATCATATTTTAACAGAAACAAGACACCACTGCATATTTTCCTGTTGTGAGCCAATCGTCATCAACTTTAGCAACTTCTTCAGCCGTCCCAGGCTTTAAGCCAACAACCACGTCAGCTTTAATAGTGCGAAGGCTCACTAGGGGAGCAGGAGTGAATCCCCTTAGAGCAACAGTGAACTCCTCAGTGTGAGGCCAGTTCATGTCTCCTACTAATTTACGATAATTAAGGTCCCCTTTAAAAATTAGAAGTTTTGATTCTTTAAAACTGTTGTACAACTCGGTATCAACATCCTTCATGCAGTCATATGAGTAAGGTAGAGTCCAAAAAGGCTCATCAAACAGCGACCAGCAACCTAGAATTCAAAGATATGTTAGCAAGTTCAGGTCATGGGTTTATTATGATTTTATTTGTGACTCACCAGAGCTCAAGTAACTTTTCCACTCCTTTGACAATTCCAATAAGCTTGGTGTCGCTGATTGTTTGCCCATTTCATCTATAAGCCAGTTGAAGTCATGCTCCATAACATCAGATATAAACCATGGCACTCTCTTGGCATGAAATCGAACTTTATCAGCCAATTTTAATTTTATGAGAAGGTGAGCAATGCAGAGGTCCGTGAACAGTTCGTATCCCGAATTATCAAAGATAATGTCTGTTGAGTACAATTTTGTTTTAGATAAAAGAGCTATAAATGAAAAATATTGTCATCTTCATTCATTATACCTATGACACGGGAGCTAGGCTCTTTGCATAGAACATCCCATACTTTTGGCAGATCGTTTGCAAGTATTAAGTTGTCAAGTTGGGAAATCATTTCCAGGGGATCAGCCACCTGGGCAATTTCTTTTCCACCAGAAATGGATAGATCACAGCGATTACCCCACAAGGACAGCTATAAAAAAAAAAAAAAAAAAACTTTGAGAAAAAAGACAACAAACAGATTCTTACTGGACTAGCCAGACAAAAATCTACCTTCAGAAACTGTACAACATATTTTTCAGTATCAGCTGATGCCATTGAAGAACACACTTTGACCAAGTGAGTGCCAACCACAGCGATGGCTTGAAGTGATCCTGGGAAGGCATCTTCCTTTTGATGCCGAAATGGGTCATAGTTATGAAAGTGCTGCCTACATAAAACAGAGATTTAATAGCAAGCAAATAGAAAAGTTGATAACATTCAATTTAAAAATTATATCTATAACACATGAAGAGGAAAAAAATCTGCAGACAAAGTATCAGAGAAACTTACGTGAGTGCAAAAGCTTCTCTTATTCTTCGATAAAGGTAACACTCAATATGCAACCAAACATCAGCAAACCACAAAAGAGGTCGACCTAAAATCATAGTGAGGATTAAACAATCTCACCTCGTAAATCAAGTACGAATCGCTTATCCAAAACAGTGAAGATATATCCCCCAGCGCATTTTTAAGTTACCTAAACTGTCCTCAGAATTTTTGAGGAAATCATTCCATGATTTTTCATCCACTTCATTTGAGTTAAATGGTGTTAGTGGTTTGTTAGTTTGCATTTCATTTTTAAGCTTAGAAAAGTAGCCAATGATTTGTTTCACTTCTTCTCGTGACACCTGAAGGATTCAAATTATGTAAAGCATTACATTAAGTTATAAAACAAAAAGGTAAATTCTTTTTAAAAAACGCAAATGGTTCCTTCCATACCTCACCAAGTGATTGTGCCAATTCCTCCTTTTTTCTTGACAGGTGATCAAGCACTTGGGTTACGGTAACAGGTAGTCGATTGCGTACAGTGTGATATGCAAAGCTCCTGTAGCAATGCACGTTTTTAAATAAGTTTAAGAAAAGTTACGGTAAAATAATTATTA